ATTGCTGTGTTTATGAAGGTTTTATGATTATCAAATACCTTTCCTAAAGAAGATAGGAAAGATATGGGTAGAAGAAGTTTTGAAATGGTTTGGAAACCGGTTGTGATGAGCACTGTAAAAATCCCTCTCCACTGTATTTTGTTAAGACAAGCTCATAGGAAGAAGATCATAATTTATGACAATAGTATATTTGTAAATGATTTTATTTTTTTGAGGTGGTTTATGGGTTTTTTTGTTTTTTATAATGTGGGTTTTTCATTTAGGTAAAGGTGGTGGTAACAGGAGGTTCCTCCTTTCCTTCCTTTACAATAGCTTTGAAAAGTCTTACACATTGCTTGCGCTCTCTTTGGCAGCAGAAACCCAGTGGAGACTTGCCGAGATAGTTGATACACCCATCTATTCAACAACCACTGTATTTTGTGTTCTTTGTACCAACAGATCTTGCTGCGGGAAGGTTGCAAAAAGATACTTGTTGCCGATTCTCTCTCTTTATTGAAGAAAATGCATCGAACTCAGATGAAGGGCGTTCTAGTAGATGGTGGGTACAGAGGAAACATGGTGACTTTCAAGCTTTTGAAGTCTTTTACTTGGTTTATAGACCTAAGCCACATGACTGTCTGCTTTGGAAGCTGCCCAAAAACCTGAGTATTGTACCTTATTTGTAGCATATAGTAGGATGCTAGTTGCTCTCCCCTTTGCAAAGGAAATGCTTTTATCTCAAAAACTACAAGACCCAGCATGCGTTTTTTCCTCTTCAATCTCTGCATAGTCAGTAATGTATTGTCTCCTGTAGTTTGTCTGTAAAGGAGAAAAACGCTGTTCAGTGCCAACATGGATAGTCACACAATGATAATCTGCAACCAAAGCAAAAGCTACAAGATAGTTTTCAGAAATAGTTGAATCTATTTTGCAAGGTGTTAATGATGCATGTGAGCGGCACTGTAATTCACACCAGCTGAGTGTTAATACCAAGAGGCAAAAGCTGACAGAAGGACAGAAGATCAAAGCTTCTGCTACAAAATGCTGCAGAGAAATCAGGCACCCATCCTACGCTCCTTTTTTTCAGTTTGCCTTGTGCCTGTACAGCACTGATCCTACACGGCCTTGCTGCTGCAGTTCTGCCACAGTCAGAATCAGATAATGTAAACATTTCTCATGCTGTTAATAGAAATGCTGCTTCAGTATTGCAATTCAATTTTTAATATATGCTGTTAAGCATCTTAAGTAAATACTTTAAGACCAAGCTCCATTTCTGTAATAGCAGTATGTTCATGCCTGCTTTATAAAAAAAAGTAAACATGGAGTTTAATAAAGCTGTTACAAGTTTGTTTTGTTTTGTTTTTCCAGAGGAGAATATTTGTGAATCATGCCTGTCTCCAATACTTCCTTCAGGTAGGATGCTTTTCTGGAAGAGAAAGAGATTGCCTGTTTTGTTTATTTTTAGAGGAACTACTGTTTGCTTTTATTCATAGAAATGTGTGGTAGTCTGCCTTGGTAATCGCTGTATAAATTTCAGTCTCCTGTGCAAAGCTTGCTTAGGAATTCTGATGTGGGAGTAGAGTGTAATTTGAACTGTTTTTTGTTGCAGTAAACCCAGATTTTTTTTTCTTTTTTCTTACTCATCTTTGACTTTCTTATTTTCTGTTTTGAAATACATGGAATGGAAAGCAGCTTTTAATTCCATCAACATAAGTATTCTCAAAGATTATTAGAACCACAAAACTAAACTGTTGCCACCAACTCGTGTCAAATCTGTTGAACAATTCAGGCTGAACCTATAAATTACAAAGTTTTATGGAATATACCTTTTGTCTGAGTGGTGAAGAACTTAGCTTCAGTCACTGCTGTCATACTTGAAACAACTTATAACAGACTAGTTCTAAAACATCTTCTTAAAGTTAGTCTTGAAACTAGAAATTCAGGATATTATTTTGAAGATACACATTCTGCAAGGCAACTATAGTTCAGAAATACTAACATAGTCGTTTGGCATCTTAAGAAGAAATACTTTTACCAGGATAATATCTGTTGTGGCATCTTCAAACAAGAATATAAAAGACAACATGTATGTATGAACCTATTTCTTTTTGTTTGTCAAGTGTGCATAGCCCAGTAGAATCACTGACAGTTTTTTAATCTGGTTTCTACCATTTTTCACTTGAATAAATAAAAAATAGACAACTATACTATGGTCATATGCACCAAAGTACAGACCACAGCAGGCACATGGTGATAGAAAACCTGGCAGAGCTGAACGTGCTAGTGCCTTGAGGTATTGTGTGTCGAGAGAATGGGACCCAAAGAATCGAATGTGGATGCTACTGCTGAGTGAGATTATTCTTTGGATATGTCAATGTTGTATGTAGGCTTGTAATTGGGCTAAATATTCATCTGGGATTCAAAAGGCACATTGTGCACTTAGGCAGCTTCTTGCCAAATTTCAAGATCATGGTGTGAAGTGTAGGTGCTAGAACTGCTTAGTGTTCTGGTTCTCCCTGCACTAGCGCAAGAATTGTTTTGATAACTTTTCTTTGAAATGGCTGAAATATTTGGTGGTAATTAACTCTTCTGCCTCCCCAAATTTAGCATGTAGCACAGACTGACATGAAGAAATTTTTATTGAAAAGATATATAGCATTTAAGCCACAGAATAAAATTGTAACTCTATCATGGGGATACATTACCTGAAAGCATCATTCTGCCTAGTTTCTGTAAATGAGCCACAATAATTTGGACATTAATTTGATAGAAAGATATTACTTGATGTTTCTATCTGTATCATGGAATACGGGCACATGCTGCTGTAGCCACTGAATCCTTTGTTTCAGTGCCCTGTTGTAAAGAATTTACTTTTTCTTTCCCAGATGCATCCAAGTCCTTCAACGTGGTAGTGTTCCACTGCAGACATATGTTTCACAAAGAGTGCCTCCCGGTATCTAACACAGTAAGGAACTAGCTTAATCCCTCTGATACCTTTGCCAAAAATAAAAGGATAAATTATTTCCTTTTGTCAACTGTGGAGAAGGACATGGGTCTATCAGGAATTATAATGTGATTACAGTAATTATTTGTGATGATACCCCGTAGTAGTAGGGTGTTTAGGGCATCTGCAACTGAAGTACATCCAATTTAGAAAGAAATTGCTGCTGTTTGAGATGTATTTTATAATTTTCTGCAATCCGAATATGCAGTGCAGCTTTGAGACATACAGGGAATACGACCTGTTTGGTTTCTTTATTAATTCTTTCCCATTGTAGCTCTCACTTTGTTTAATTAAAGACAAGAATAAAGGTATTTTGTCAAGTGAACCTTATTAAATGATTTTGACCTGGAAGAGAAAAACTCCACTCATTTCAGAGTGAATATTTAAATACTGTAATAATCTTTATGCTCAGAATATGTGGGGTTTTTTTTCATCAGGGAAATATTTTTTTCCCCTCTCCAGTGTAAACAAACAAAAACCCTAACTTCTAGATATAACCAGTTTTGAATTTAGGAATGAAAGCATCAGAATGGTAATAAAATCACAAAGAAAATGAAATTTAAACTTTTCTCATTCTGTGTATGTCTCTGAAAATGAACATCTAGTGAAAAAATAACTTTGGTGAATCACTTGATCTGCAAGTAACCAAGGAAAGTGCTTGTAGCCATATGGTACAGCATGTATACTTAAATATGTTATGAAAATCTTAATGAATTGGATCATTTGCATAAGAAAGCCTAACATCCAGTAAATATTTATTCAAACAATATTTACCACAAATTTTATTATTTGAGAAGCAATCTAAAATTTATCTAGCATTCTCAATTTACTGGGACAGGGGTGGGACTGGGTAACTTGTCAGATGGGATTTTCAAATGTGACACGAATATTACATGATAGATGTGCAGATACCTGTGTGTTCATACATACATAGAATATATCTAAACCAAATTCTTCACTGCTATAGTATTTCTTGGCCTTAGGTCATCAGTTGCATTACTGATATTTGGTTACTGGTGACATACTGAAAGTAATGCATGCATAAAGCATCGCACAGAGCTAAACACAGAAGTAACAATAAACACATGTAATATCAGATGGACAGTACTCAGCCCATATTCTCAGCTGTTGAAAATCTGTAGAGCATTATCCAAAGACAGAGCTGTGACTAAGACATGCAGTGGTCAATAGAGCTGACCAAGTGACTTTCTTCTTTTATCTGTGGAGATAATCAGTGATATTTTTGACTCTGTATTTTTCATTTTTGTTGTGGAAGAAATTTGATGTCACTCTTCTGGAGAGTGGTGGTGATACACTTGCAGGGAGGGGTGAGGTGTATTGCTTTTGGACTCCAGACTCCAGAATAGCCTGCTTTATTGTGTTCCACTATATCGCCTTCCTACACCTAGCTATGAATGTGTCTATAGGGAACAGCCCGACTGTGAATAGTAACATTGAGAAAGGCATTTTTTCATTCATCTTCCCACATTCTAACTTGGCTACATCTCTCTAAGAGATTCTTGTTTTCTTTTTAATTTCTAGGTATCTCCTGTCCAGTTCTGCAACATATGCAGTGCCAAACACCGAGGGCCAGGAAGTGCAATCCTGGAGATGAAGAAATAGCACTCCCCTAGTTCTCCATGCCAGTCTGTGACACCAACTCTGTTAGGATGATGCAGAACCACTGTAGTTTCTGTTAGTCATCGTTTCTGTATATAATTCTAATTGTGTTTTAAAGCTGGTTTCTCTAAGATATCCAGCTTATTGAATGTTTTCAGGAAAGAGAAAATATTGAAAACCTTTCCCTAGTAAGTCTTTGTTATGCAATTCATATTTCACTGTTCCTTTGCTTGGCTTGTTACTTAACTCTGGAACAGAAAAGAGAAATAAAATGGGAAGAAAAAAAAAACAGTATGGAGATTTGTGCTTGGTATCAGCTAATGTGCTTTTCAGTTTGGAGCTATATCAGGCTCATGGTTAGATATTGTAAAGAAAGATGAATTACTGCGAATTCAGCTCACCAAACTACTTTAGTCCAGATTTAGTCCATTAGTGAACTGTTCAACTTGAGACACGTGAGGCATCTGACTGTTTTCAGTGGAACTGCTTCAGGACTTGAAGCTGGCTGTGTGCTGAATCATGCATTAAATTAACAAACTCGTTAACTGTTAAAATTATAAATTGGCAATTTATGTAGGTTGTATGGTTACACATTCATAGAATCATAGAATGGTTTGGGTTGGAAGGGACCTCAAAGATCATCTAGTTCCAACCCCCCTGCCATGGGGGGTTTGTTATAAACTGTTTATCAGTTGATCTTCACAATACAGTAGTTTAAGGTGGGTTTTTCTCATGTTAAACTCATCCAGAAACTTTCTTCTAAAATGTTAGCAGTAGGTCTTCACACTTGTTTTATAACTGTGGTTCTAGTGCATAACTTTAAGTACAGAAAAGAAAAAAAAATAATCTGGCCTTTCAAAGACAAGATCTCCAGGAGTTTCTAATAGGCTTTAGCTATTTAAGAGCTAAGTTAAATAAGTCTATTTGGATGTTAACAAAAAACCATATTTTTAATTTCAACTGTGTTCTGTTTGGTTGATCCAAAGGAGGTGATCTTTCAGAATGTCTTCACAGCAACGTAATCTCTTTATAATATTCTCTGATTAAATTAAATATAAGCATCTTTTCCCTAAGAATAGTAATTCTTCATAACTCCCGAGATATTTTTCCTCTTTATAATAACTGGAGCTTGTAAGTAGAAATACGTTATTTCACCATCAAATTGTGATGTTTAAACAAGTAGTTAACATCTTAAGTTTTGAAACAATGGTATGGTGATACTGCAGTGTACCTGTAAAACTGGAAAAATAGAACACTTCTAAGTTCTCCTGTACCTTAGTCCAATGTAAATAATCTATATCGTAGAAAGCTGGGTATTGAGTTTATGTAAATTCGTAATAATTTTCTGATATCCTTTGGGCAGTCAGCTGAGCTGGTCTAGCAATCCGATGAGTGATTTTTGTTTGTCCACTGCATAGATATAATACTGGAATAAAATTTTAAGTGTATTAGAACTGTGAGGATTTACTCTGCATGCTTACTGAAGGCAAAATTATCATTAAAAAACCCGATGTCTCAAAAACATAGCAATAATATTGTATCATGATAATACAGACAGCTCAAAAAATAAGAAATGGTGCCAGTTATTTATGGACATGCAGTAGGTGAAATAACAGAAGGATGGGAGCTTTGTAGTGCAGAGCATAGCCTGCATACATCAAGCTTCACCCATAATAACTACTGTCTGGCTCTGTAGCATTTCATTTTCAGCAGCTAGTACACATTCTCAGGTATGTTATTAATTTATCATTCTTTACTACATTGATCAGGAAAGCTGCTTTGATTCCTAGCAAACTAAATGCTCCAGTGAGCTTAAGGGCTGTTTCACCGTGGTATTTCAGCTATTGCATGCCTGTAGACAAGTTTAGAAACTGTTTAAAAAACCCTCTTCCTTAGTAGCTCTAAGCAGCTTTTCTGTATCGTACCCTAAGAATGCTCTGTGCAGTGCCATACGCTGTCAGCTTTTGGGAGGAAAAAGTCAAATTACTCCTATTGAGTTATGCCACAAAGAGTTCTGTAGCTCAGAGTTATATGATAATTTAAAGCAAGTATATTGTTTACTTCAGCTTGGCCTTAAATTCCCTAAAGCATTTGAGCATTTGGTGACTCAGTTTGCTAGCCTACCATCACTGGCAATCATATTGCATTATACCCTGGCATATTTTTTGCGTTATGCAAGTAATTTTAAATCACTGTATGAAAATCTAATCAAAATCTTCTTTAAATCCAAAGCTTCTTTCATTTGGGCTTCAGGGACTACCCTTTTCATGTTTTGAATTCTAAATTTGCTTATTAAGATTCAGCAAGAAATGTACTGTCCTGACTTTGATTCACTTTTCTTCCTAAGAAACCTTCACATCATAGAAAATGTCTGAGGTTAGAATCTAAAATATTCAGCTACCCAAGAGCTTTTCTTCTGGAGAACAGCTTTGCCTAAGAAGTAGCCTTAGAGTTGCATAATCCTTCAGAAAAGTACGGAATAGCACTTACCCAGTTTCACCAGAGCTTATTTAAGATGTCAATCCATTTATCAAAGTGCTTGTGCTTCTAACTAAGGTAAACTTAAGGTAAATTTAACAAGGAAATCACAATTTTTTTCACTGATCCATCCAGTTCTCTGTCATTTCTTCAGTAGTGACCAATAAAGCTAACTGTGATGGATCAAGTGAGAATGTGTTAGTCTGCTCTATCAAAGAGTATTTTGGTTATAATGAGTCTGTGGATGATTTTTCTCATCTCTCTTTGTTTTATTGAGACCCACAATGCTGTGTGATAGGCTGGGTGGCAATGTTGGGCTACACTAAAGACTTCGGTGGGTCCAGGTGAGGAGCTAGTGGTGCTTGGTGAGCCTGAGGCTATTTAGTCCTGCTGAGAGCTCAGTTAAAAGTGACGGCATCAGGATAAATGTTGACTTGTGCAAAAGGAGGAGTTAATCTGTTCCTAGCAGACTTGTGAGGACTGGGAGGGACTTGCCAGCAGTAAAACTCTAGCCAGTAATTTGTAGGGCGAGTAAGAAGTGCCTCTTGCTCTTGTAATAAATTAATTATTTATTGGGTGATCTTTTTATGGCTGATAGACAATGTCTGAAACGGGCTGGGACAGGCTCTGCAGATCTTTTGGGTCTCATTAAAGTCGAGAGGTGCGTGATTGGTTTTTGCCATCTTCTGCTACAGCTGAATCTCATGTGTTTACTGGCTGGTAGCTGCATCTCAGTGGGCTTGAGGCAGCTCCTCTACCAAATCAAGTGATGTATTGAATCAGCTGTGTTTGGTGCGTGGGTGAGGGTCTCCCACCCAATGTTACATGTCAGTTAGTATATACAATGATGTCCTCTAGCTGTAGCTGCATCTGACAGCTGCTCACCTGTGCGAAACCTGAATGCAGGGAGTCTTGTGTGTTGGAACAAGAGTAAGTTGCTTGTCTGACAGATGTTTAACCCTTTGGTGGGCTGGGGAGCTGAGCATCTCAGATGGTTTTGCCACTGAGTTTAGCAGGAGTAGAGTTTCACCATGACTTGGAGCAGGTGGCCAGTGCTTGGCTGGACAGCAGCAGCAGGACAGATTTCTGTAGCTATTGCATCACGGCAGCTCTGATGTCGTGTAAAAGCTGCTGGTTTGGCAGCTGCTGATTCTGGCCTCCACAGACTTTTCTGTTTCACACTGAAAATTAAAGGCATATACGGCCCCTGGGTAACCTTCTGCTTCTGTGTGCTTTAGGTAGACCCTTCAGACTTCAGCCTTATGTACAACTTTGTCAATATGCAAGAGGGAAAGGCTGGTTCTGCTGTTTCAGCTACAGTGGTAAGAGGACAAATGTTGGACAAGAGCTATTCTAGACTACTGAAGGCAGCAGCTAAAACTGCTGTGGCAGAAGAATGACAGAATGATGTTGTGTTACAGAGCCAGAGCAAAGACTGAATGAGTTGTTTGCATGTTTTTAGATCAACATTATATTCCTACTTGAAATAAGTGTTTTCATGGAGAGATGCTGCCATGGACTTGACTGCAGATTTGTCAAGGACTACTGTAAAGCAAAAAACAAGAAACATCCAGTTGTCAGCAATGTTTTGTAACATATTTTTAGTAGGAGACTATGCTGCAACATATTTTTCTAAATTTTGGCTGATAACTGGATAGAGGCTGTCAATATTCTGTATGGACTGCACCAGACTGGCTTATCAAGTTTTCATCTTAGGAAATTTAATCGCTTTCTACCTTTCAGTTAATGTTTATTCAGCTAGAGTCTTTTAAGCAGGCACCATTTTACTCTCTGCTCTTGTGTACACTGCCATGGTGGTTTTCTGCTTGGTGAGTAGGACTCCTGACTGCAATTCAAGGGAAGTGGGATTGCAGATAACCTCTTAAATGAAAATGTGATGTTGGATTTCCATTTCTTGAATGCTAAATCACAGCATTTCAGTATTATATGTCTCAGGCACCTTGGAAAATACAGTGTCATCCCTGCAGGTTGGTTGGACGGGTTCCCTGCCTGTATCATTTGATAGCCATTTGAGTAAATACTTGCAGGAAAATTCTTACCTAATGCTAAACTAGGACCATTATCTGAGTGAGGAAAATCAGGAAAAGCCTATTTCCCTCTCTCGTGTTGTAGGCTTCTGACTTTATAATCCATGCAGCATAACTTTTACCCATTTTTGCAAATGCTAGATGTAACGTCAGGGTCGTCTTCTGCTCTAGAAGAGTTTCCCCCTCGAGCAGATCTTTGCCAAATACTAGCTCTAAATCAGTCGCGGTACTCTCAAAACAATTTAAACAAGACTTGTAAGAAATGTAGCACATTGAGAGACTGACTCTTTAATTACATACTTTTGGGACTGCTTCTTACTCCACTGCGCCATGAAAGATTAATTTTCTCTTGGCATTAGAGAAATCCCTGGATGACGTTTTTTTCTGTTCTTCAAGACAATGTGTGCTTTCTTTTACTATAATCAAATATTAAATTATGCAGAAGACAGGACGTCTGAAGTGTCTGAGGCATCAAATGCACAAGAGAATAGGATGTGTGAGAATTTCTAAGAGAAGTCAATGAGTCATAGTGGGAACGACCTAAATTTAGTCTTAAAAGGCCTCAAGAAATGGGGATCATAATAAGCTTTTGCAATAGAGCAGGTCTTAGAGGTTCTGATGTGTTTAGGCTGTGACATTTCCCCAGGAGTCTGCAATCTGAACAGACAAGGCTGCCAGTGGCTTCTGCTGCTGGGTTGTGCTTAGGACCAGTTGTGGTGCTGCAGCAGCAGGAGTCAGAAACCTGCTGAGTAGAGGT